TGACACCAGGCTGCTCCTGTCGGCACTGGGGCCCCGTCCTGCTGGGGGTGCTCTAAGAGGAGCAGCTTGGAGTGCACGTCAGCATAGGAAGGCTGGACAGCTTTTCAGCTTCTAGGTACCAGTGACTGAGGGCTGCTCCTCACCCACACACCCTGCTCCCCCAGCTGAGCACCTCCCAAAGCTTCAAAGAAAGTCCAGAGGCCAACCAGCAAGGAAGTGCACCGGAACCTGAGAGCACAGTGAGGGTGGCGTCAGAGGTAGCCTCTGCCATGGCCCTGGGAACAGGATTTAGGGAGATAAGTGCAGGCCTGAAGACCTGGGGAGATGGAAGGACTTGCTGTTTTTGTTTGTTTGTTTGTTTTTTCAGACGGAGTCTCACTCTGTCACCAGGCTGGAGTGCAATGGCACGATCTCAGCTCACTGAAACCTCTACTTCCTGGTTCAAGCGATTCTCCCGTCTCAACCTCCTGAGTAACTGGATTACAGGTGTGCACCATCACGCCCAGCAAATTTTTTTTTTTTTTTTGTATTTTTAGTAGAGACGGGGTTTCATCACGTTGGCCAGGATTGTCTCGATCTCCTGACCTCGTGATCCACCCACCTTGGCCTCCCAAAGTACAGGCGTGAGCCACTGTGCCTGGCCTTTTTTTTTTTTTTTCCCCCAAGACAGGGTCTCACCAGTCCTGTTGTCCAGGCTGGAATACAGTGGTGCTGTCATGGCTCACTGCAGCCTCAACTTCCCTCACTCAGGTGATTCTCCCACCTCAGCCTTCTGAGTAGCTGAGACTACAGGTGTGCACCACCATGCCTGGCTAACTTTTAGTATTTTTAGTAGACACGGGGGCTTGTTACGTTGCCCAGACTGGTCTCCAACTCTTGGGCTCAAGTGATTCTCCTGCCTCCGCCTCCCAAAGTGCTAGGATGACAGGCATGAGCCACCATGCCTGGCCACATTTTCCTTTAACTGAACAGTCAGAATAATTGAAACTGAGGGAGAAAAGAAGGACAACATGATCGTGACTGGAGAAAAACTCAAGGTTGTCTTTCAGGACATTTTAAGGGCTTTGATTTGTATCCTCTATACAATGAATTATGATGTAGGATTTTGAGCAGGGCAGAGATTTTCTTCATAGGCAATCATGTCATTTGCAGAGAAAACTTTTATTTCTCCCTTCCCAATCTGTATACCTTGTTTACTTTTCTTGTCTCATTGCATTGGCCAGGACTTCTAGTGTGACAGTGAGAAGCAGTGGTGAGAGGGGGAGCCTTGCCTTCTTCCTGATCTTAGGGGGAAAAGCTTCTAGTTTCTCACTGTTTAATAGGCTGTGAGCTCTAGGGTTTTTGTAGGTGTCCCTTATCAAACTGAAGAAGTTACCCTCTAATCATAGTTGGCTGAAAGTGTTTGGGTTTTTTTTTTTTTTTTTTTTTCGCCCAGGCTGGAGTGCAGTGGCCGGATCTCAGCTCACTGCAAGCTCTGCCTCCCGGGTTTACGCCATTCTCCTGCCTCAGCCTCCCGAGTAGCTGGGACTATGGGCGCCCGCCACCTCGCCCGGCTAGTTTTTTTGTATTTTTTAGTAGGGACGGGGTTTCACCAGGTTAGCCAGGATGGTCTCGATCTCCTGACCTCGTGATCCGCCCGTCTCGGCCTCCCAAAGTGCTGGGATTACAGGCTTGAGCCACCGCGCCCGGCCTGGTGTTTGGGTTTTAAATCATGAATGGGTGTTGGATTTTGTCAAATGCTTTGTCTGCATCTATTGATGTGATTGTGCGGTTTTTCTTCCCTATCCTGTTGCTGCGATGGCCCACATGCAGTGGCTTTTAAATGGCAGTGAGATTTTAAAATGACCATTTTGGCTGCCATAAGAAGAGATAGCAGTAGGGTGGGAGTGAGGAACTAGAGTGGAATTGGGGAGATCAATTTAAAAATGCTCGGAGAAATCCTGGGATTGCGGAGATCAACCTAAAAAAGGCTGGAGAAATCCTAGTGACAAATGATGAAGACACAAACTCAGCAGTGGAAGTAAGATGCGTTGCAAGCAGAATGCACTTGATGTGATTTTTCTGGATGGGTTATTCAGGAAGAGAGGAAGAGGAGAGTCACCAGTGACTCCCAAGTTTGGCCCAGCAATTGGATGACACTTCTGGGAGGCCTTAGTGTGTTACATGCTTACTGAGAACTGTGTGTTGGGGCTGGGGACATGGATGCCTTGGGGACTTTCACAGGAGCAGGTGCAGTGGAATGGTGGAGAGAAAAGATGGACGGGGTCACAGAGTCCATGGAAGACTTCAAAGTGGAGACTGGCTTTGTGGTCAACGATTTCAGCCAGTTTGGGTGTGGGAGAGATTGAAGAAACAGGGCTGGAGAAAAATACAGATTTCCTGGGAGGATTTTGTTATGGGGGAGTCCACAGTGGGCTTGAGTGCTGTTGAGAATGATGAAGTGGAGAACAAGTTCAAGATGCAGCCTCATTACAGGGATTATTTCCCCTCCTGCATCACCCATTTTCAATGGCAACTTGATCAGGTCAAATTCTCTCATTCTCTCTCTCTCACTCTTGCTCTTGCTCTGTGTGTGTGTGTGTGTGTGTGTGTGTGTGTGTATGTGTGTGTTCTGTCTTCAGAAACCCTCCAGCTATTGCCTTATTTGCATGATCCCACCAGAGAATGGTGTACAGTCAATGTCTAACTTTTCCTTGAAATTCTGTGAATTTCCATCAAGCTTCTGCTTCTACCACTTCAACAAAATTCCTGTAACCAAGATCACTGATGGCCCCTGCCCTTGACAAATGCAACCGTCCTGCTCTTGCTTCATCCACATCATTGGAGACAAATGGTTTGTTCTTTGACTTGGCTTCAGGACCTTCCTTTTCTCCCTGGCCACCCTTCATGTGCCACAGCTGGGGCCCCTCATCTCCCCACCTCTCAAAGGCCAGAGCCCCTCGGGGCTTATCCCTTGAACCACTTTCTAAAGTTCATGCCTGCTCCTTTCATGACCTCATATGCTTACTCATCTTATGAGCACCTCAAACTTGACCTGTCTAAAACTGCACACTACCACCAAACGAAGATCCCCCAGAAAGCTCTCCACCTCCTCAGTACAACTCCAGCCTTCCAGCTTCCAAATGAAAAACTTACAGCCATTCTACATTTCTCCTTTTCTGTCATAGCTCAATTTGATCAATCGGAAAATCTCTTTGGCTTTACCTTAAAACACATCCACAATCCAACTAGCGCCCCCGACCCAGAACCTCCAGTGCCACCATTTGGACGTGAGCTGTCAGCATCTCTTACTGCAGCAGATGAAATCTCCACGCTTCCTTCCATGCCACTCTATTCCTACCACAAGGCTAAATGACTTCTTTAACGTGTACATCAGGCTGCACACAGTGGCTCAGGCATGTAATCCCAGCACATTGGGAGGCTGAAGTGGGAGGGTTGCTGGAGGCCGGGAGCTGGAGGCTGTAGTGAGCTGTGATGGCACCACTGCACTCCAGCCTGGGCCAGAGTGAGACACTGTCTACCCCAAAAAGAAAGAAAGTGCATCAGATCATTTCACCCCTTTGCTCTATATCGTGTAACAGCTTTCCACCCTGCTTCTTGGAACATGCCAAGTTATCAGGCTCCCTGCAGACCCTGCTCGGGCCTAGGTCTCCTTTCCTCCTGTTCTGAGCTCCCCTTATCCTGGCCTTGCTTCTGGTCCCCAAACTCAAACAGGGCAACCGTTCTCCTGGGACATCATTTCCCTCCTGTGGGCTCTCTTTCCCTGGGTACCCCTGGTCTTGCTCCCTCACCTACCTCAAGCCCACACCCATCACTCTCCAGTTAGGCCCTACCAGCTTCATTTTCCTCCAAAACACTCATCTCCATGGGTTTCTCTCCTGAGACAGCCCACATGAGGAACAGCACCTGGCACACACTTGGGAAATGTTTTGGAAGAAATGAATTCAAGGAAGAGGGTCCTGAGGGGGTGGAGCAGGAGTGCAGAAGCCCTCAAAGCTGGACAGGGAGCCAAGACGGGGTCGGGCAAGTCGGGGTGACGTGGGGGCCGCTGCTCTGGCCACTCCCTGTGTCCCACAGGTGCCTGGGGACCAGGTCACTGCCCTGGCCACTCCCCATGTCCGCAGGTGCCTGGGGCCCGGGGGCACCATCCTGACCACTCCCTGTGTTCTGCAGGTGCCTGCGGGTTGGGGTCACCGCCCTGGCCACTCCTGTGTCCAGCAGGTGTCTGGGGGCCGGGGGCATTACCCTGGCCATTCTCTGCATCCTGCAGGTGCCTGAGGTCCGGGGACACCGCCCTGGCCATTCCTTGTATCTTGCAGGTGCCTGGGGGCCGGGGTCACCGCCCTGGCCACTCCTGTGTCCAGCAGGTGTCTGGGGGCCAGGGACACCGCCCTGACCACTCCTTGTGTCCAGCAGGTGCCTGGGGGCTGAAAGTCACCGCCCTGGCCACTCCCTGTATCCTCCAGGTGCCTGGGGGCTGGGGTTACAGCCCTGGCCACTCCCCGTGTCTCGCAGGTGCCTGGAGACCGGCGACACCGCCCTAGCCACTCCCTGTATCCTGCAGGTGCCTTGGGGCCGGGGGCACTGCCCTGGCCACTCCCGCGTCCGTCAGGCGCCTAGGGGCGAAGAGGGGACTGCGGATCCGCAGGTGCACGCGTGGGGCTAGGGGTGGGCGCGTCTCCTCTGGGGCTCTCCGCTCCCCTCTTCTCCACAGCGTCCTTCCTAGCGTTCGCCCCCAGAATTCCGCCACCGCGTAGAGCAGGCGCAACCAGCGCCCCCACAGCGTCCTCAGGCTCCCCAGAGCCCGCGCCGACGCCCCCGCAGCCCTCCCTCCGCGCACGCTCCGCAGCGAGGCTCCCAGAGGCGGGTCTGGAGCCTCGCGACACGCCCACAGACTCGATATCAGCCAATCCAAGGCCGTGTTGTAGTTGACTGACAGCCCGTGGCAGGGTCCCGTATTCGGATTGGGCATTCCTGCTGTTGTGGGCGGGCCCAGGAGGGCGGAATCCGGAAGGCAGGGCGCTTAGGTCGGGCCCGAGAGCGGTGGACTGAGGTCCGCGGCCGGGTCATGGCGGCGCACAGGAAGCACGGTAGGTGGGGGCGGCGGGAGGCTTTCTGCCCGGACGCCAGACCCGGCTCTCGGCTCAGACCGCAGTATTGACTCGGGACCTCGACCTCGGCCCCTCTGCAGGCCCCACCCCAAACCTGGACCAACTCTCCACCTCCACCCCAGTCCCTACCCATCCCCCGCTCTTACCCCAGACCCCGACCCCGGACCGCGGCCCACCCCTCGCCCATGTTGTTCCTTGTATGGCTGCTGGTCGGGCCGGCCTTGCCAGGCCCCATCTGGTGTCTGGGGACTTGGGCGGGGGCGAGCCCAGCCAGGGGTTCGTGTTCTTAGCAGAGCCCCTGTCGGTGAGTGAGTAGGGGCCGCTCAGCTCTTCAGAGGGGTCCTAGCCCGGGGCTCCGGCATGGAGCCGCAGCCGGCTCCGGCAGCCTCACCAAAAAGTACAGCAGAACTTCCCTGAGCCACTGTGTCCTCATCTGAGAGAAGTAGGTCGTGGCGTTTACCTTCAGTGGACCTAAGGTGTGGGGCGCATCCTAGTGCTTATGAAATTCTATGATAGTATTAGGCAGTACCAAAGACAGGAGCAGACTAATGCAACTGGTCAACCTGGCCATGCCTTAGAACGAAAGTGTTAGAAAATAAAGCGTGCTCCTTCCTCCTGCAGACCCCAGTTCATCACCCTCACCCTGTAATCATCATTATAATGAAAAGAGTGGCGGTTTTTGACATGAATCTCGTGTTACTTGGATTAATTCAGACGCTGATGAATTTTTTTCCTTCTCTATGTTTAAAACTGATATTTTTCTCTTTTAAATGAAAAGAGTGGCAAACTGTAGTACGAAACAATTGCTTACAAAGAAAAAATTTCTCAGTGAGGCAGAATGTGGAGGAAAATATGGTCTCAAGTCTTCCTTTTTAGGGAAACACTGCCCTTGGGCTTCCCCCTCTCCTTCAGGGCCAGGGAGTTGTCACCTGATCAGCTCACAGGTTAAAAATGACCTCACAGTTTTTAAGCAGTCAGATGTTAGGCTCTAAAATGGACATTCACATATGTTAATGAGCACCAGAACTACCTTGTTCATGACCCTCTCCTGGAAGCAGGGCTGGCAGGCTGTGAATTCAGTGTCGAGGTTCTTAGGAGCAGACCTGACGGTGAACTGCCTGCAAAGCTGTCCCTGCCTTCGTGGTGGGGGGCTTCTTGCTACTGCGGGTTTTCTTCACGTTCTTCTCTTACATTCTTTCAAATGTTTGCAACTCTTCTAAGCTTGCAATAAATGTTTTTGTCTATTCAAGAAATTATAGCATCTGTAATGTACCTAATCAACTTAAAAAAATCCTTTCTCCACTCACTAAATTAAAGTGAATGGAAGTTACTTGTTTTAGTCATTCACTAATCATCTTCCCTTGAAATGGCCTTTTTTTCAAACTATTGGATATGTGACAGAATGGTCAAGTAAATTTAGGTTGTTTAAGGACATTGTGGTTGGAAGGATGGGTTAATAAATCCCAAAAGTATAAAATGTAGCTGGGAGAGAAAATATTAGTTTTCTGTGTGTCTTCCTCGAGATCGTCTGAATAGCCCATCGGCTGAGTGGCACTTAGGCTCTGAGAGGCACTGAAGGGAGGATTTAGCTGGAATAAAACTTCCCAGCATTTGTGATCTGATGGAGCAGGAAACTGGGATGTGCTTGCGCCGAGTGTGCCTCGGGAGGAGGGGATGGAGACATCCGCTTGCAGGAATATCTCTTTTCCTGTGGTCCAGCTCAGGGTCCTGGGGTGGTTGCAGATGGGGGTTGGGCACCATTGTTGATGGTGGGAGAGGAGGCAGGTGCCACGAGGCGCAGGTGTGCCTTCCTGGAGCGGACCCCACACAGAACTCTGACTTGGCGTCGTTTATTCACCGAAGGGTGTTGGCCGAGCGTCTGCTGAGTGTGGCAGAGCCCCTCAGGCCCTGGCTGCAGCAGCGAATGAGGCGCGGTATCCTTCCCTCCCCGAGCTAAGTGAAGCTCTGCTGTGCTTTGAGGCTGTGCTTGGGGTTAGGGCAGTGCTTGCTGACAGAGGACACATCCAGGGGCCCATACTTTCCCCTGCTTGGCTCTGGCACAGACCAAGAAACATGAGGTGGAAAGGCTGGCGGTCAGGCTAAACAGTGATTCTAAGCATTTTTTTTTTTCCTGGAAGTAGATTGTTTTTGCTAGGCAATGTAACCTGTTAATGAGACAGTTTCCCTGTAACAGCGTGTAGCAAAACTCCGCAGGATTAATGGGAAGAATGTGTTGCCTTTGAAGCAGCACCACTTGAGTACAAATTTGTCAAATGTGCTCTATGTTATGCTGGTGTAAGTATAGCTCTAGAGGATGTTTCTTGGGCCTACTTTGCAAGCCTGAGAGGTGCTGTGCAGCTCCGACCATGAACTGCTCTCCTAACTGAAGAGGATCCCAGGAAGGGGAAGGGCACTGTGGCCTCCATTCTACCCAGGGAGATTGGGTGAATATCTGGCATGTAATTAAGTGCTAGCTCAGGTCGGGCTGTTTCTGCACATAGGGTAGCCAGCGGTCAGGGGAGCCTGGCGTGGGGTTGCAGTGGACTGGGGAGGCCCCCAGTGTCACAGATCCCCCAGGGGCTGCGTGCTCCTCGAGGAAGGGGCCTGCTGTGGTGGGTGAGGACCTTAGGAGCTGCCCCGGTGACTCCTGGCAGGAGTGACTGCGTCTGCTGTTGGCCGGGTTGAGCCTTGGCTGCCTTCTCCTCCCTGGACGGCTCCCAGTGCCTGTCAGGGCATCTTGTGTTGGTGAGCAGAGCCATGCAGGACCTTGCTCCTTGCTTCCTTCTCGAGACGCTGACTGTGTGCCTGCTCCCTGGGCGGAGTCTTGCTGTCCGTCTCATGGAGCCTCCTCCCTGGTGGTTGGTCATTGGGAGGGGTTTGGCTCTGGTCCTCTGCCCGACTCCGTGTGTGCTTCAGGGACGTTTCCAGAGGAGGCAAAGCTTGCGTGGGGTTTGCTGGGCAGAGGCGATCCTCAGATGCTGGGGTGAGGGCCACAGCCTCGTGGAGGTGGGAGCCCCATCCCAGGGCCCAGCCCTGAGCAGGCAGAGGAGTGCCAGGCGGTCATGCCACTCCCTCTCTCCCTGCACCAGGCCTGTCCTCACCACCTGCTGCTGTGTGTGTGGTGGGGGGGATGTGCCAGTGGATTTAAGCAGAGTCCCTGCCCCGCAGCGCCCCCTGCATTTGACTCACTGCACCCTGAGGCAAGTCCTTTGACTCCTTGTCCTGCAGTTTCCCATCAAGGTGGTTCAGTGGTGCCAGTCACCCACATCAAGGAGAGAGCTCCGAGGGCACCATGCTGCTGGCACAGCCTTGCTGGCCTGGCTGGGCCTTCTGTAGGGAAGGCACAGCCCCATCCCAGAAGCCTCCTCCTGGGTGTCACCCAGCCTGCTGTCAGCCTGGGGAACGTGTGCTGGAGTGCGGGATGCTTGGTTGCTTTTTAATAAGAATTCATTCTTGCTGTGACTGCTGCACGCACAGGACAGCTTCACTCGCCCTTGCAGGTGCGTCCTCCAGGGCCAAGGAGTCTGGAGCAGGTGGGCAGCCTCTGTCTTCCTGAGACTCCTCAGATGAAGTTGGAGCTGCCAGCGCCTTGCTGTGAGCGGTCACACTTCCTGTTGGCCACCTCCCTGTCGTCTTCTGGTTTCTCCTGCACCTCAGGGAGTGGACTGCCCCAACTTCACACACCAGGAATCTTTGGCGCTGTCCACGGTGCTGGCCTGGTGCCAGAGTTCCTGCAGCTCTGGTAGTTGGGGAGAGGTGTCTGCGTGTAGGCATGGGTCTGTGAGCTTGTGTGTGCATATTGTGTGTGCATATTGTCAATGTGCATGCATGTATGTGTGCCGCTGTTCCTGTGTGTGCACGTGTCTGTGTATGCCTTTGTGCACACACACCTGGCGGGTGTGTGCATGCATGTCTGTGTGCATTCCTGTGTGTGTGTGCATCTGTGCAGGTGTGTGGTGTGTATCTGTGCACGCATGTGTGTGTCTTTGTGGTGTGCGTGTGTATGTGTATATGTGTGCATGTGTATATGCCTGAGTGGTGTGCATGCATATCTGTGCCTGTGTGTGGTGTGTATGTCTGTGTGTAGTGTGTATGTGTGCCTGTGTGGTGTGTATATGTGTGTTTTGCATGTGGTGTGTATGTACATGCATGTCTTCTTGTGATGTGTATGTACATGTGTATGTGTACCTATGTACATACGTATTGCCTGTGTGGTGTCTGTG